CCAACCCCAACCCCAACCCCAACCCCAAACCCAACCCCAAACCCAAACCCGTACTTATCATAGTGTTATTAAAGATATTGAAATTAAAGAAAAAAAAAGCCACGCTATAATAATTTTCTATATAGATAATAATGAAATTAATTACAATTTCATTCTAATAATATTTTGAGATTTCAAACTCTTTTTTAATAATTCTTTAATATTCATTATTTAGATAAATTTTCAAATAGAGCATAGCAAATTCACTAGCAAAATCTGACTAATTATTTTACTTCTTTTATTCTAAAAAAATTTAATAATTCTTTTTATAGAAACAATTTAATGGTTATTTTGAAATTATTAAATCCTTAAGATTTTTAAGCTCATTTTCACTTGAAGACATATACATTTTCATATCATTAAAAAAAGAAAAATATTTAATTTAATTAATTTCTTATTTCTTCTATTAATTGTTTAATAGATAAATTATACTCTTTATTCCCAATGTGTTAGGAGAGTTAAATTATGTGAACTTAACATTTTATTGACTTGAATGCATTCGCTTGCAACGAATATAATCACTTTAAAAATTTTAATATTGTAACAAAAAAAATAATATTAATGAAATAAAGTTAGAAAATACCTGCAAAGGATAAAGTACTAAAGAGATCAAAGTCTAATTTTTTTGAAAATACTTTATTTAGTTGTATTAAAAGAAAAGCTGTAGGAAATTAAAAAAAAATCATATTGAATACTCATAAAACTATAAAGGCTATTTTTAATTAATATATTGATAATACACTATTTTGAGTTTAATAAGAATCGGTTGTATAATTTAATATACATAAAATATAAAAAATATATGCGACAATACGCAAAAAATTAAAATGATGATTAAATAAACATAAGTGCCTTTGTGTAATATTAAAATAAAAAAATATTGACTAGAGGCAATATTACCATAATTATTTGTTATGATTTTTTCTAATGCTTATTTTATGTTTTTTATTTATCGTTTACGTTTTTAAATCACTTCACTATATTACCTGCTTATAGGCTTCAGAGGCTTCTATATACTCCTGCATTTTTGTTACTTTTTATCTATTTGATTATATTTTATAATGAAGTTCTTTTAAAATAAATTTATGGTTACTCCTGCATATTAANCCGTACTTATCATAGTGTTATTAAAGATATTGAAATTAAAGAAAAAAAAAGCCACGCTATAATAATTTTCTATATAGATAATAATGAAATTAATTACAATTTCATTCTAATAATATTTTGAGATTTCAAACTCTTTTTTAATAATTCTTTAATATTCATTATTTAGATAAATTTTCAAATAGAGCATAGCAAATTCACTAGCAAAATCTGACTAATTATTTTACTTCTTTTATTCTAAAAAAATTTAATAATTCTTTTTATAGAAACAATTTAATGGTTATTTTGAAATTATTAAATCCTTAAGATTTTTAAGCTCATTTTCACTTGAAGACATATACATTTTCATATCATTAAAAAAAGAAAAATATTTAATTTAATTAATTTCTTATTTCTTCTATTAATTGTTTAATAGATAAATTATACTCTTTATTCCCAATGTGTTAGGAGAGTTAAATTATGTGAACTTAACATTTTATTGACTTGAATGCATTCGCTTGCAACGAATATAATCACTTTAAAAATTTTAATATTGTAACAAAAAAAATAATATTAATGAAATAAAGTTAGAAAATACCTGCAAAGGATAAAGTACTAAAGAGATCAAAGTCTAATTTTTTTGAAAATACTTTATTTAGTTGTATTAAAAGAAAAGCTGTAGGAAATTAAAAAAAAATCATATTGAATACTCATAAAACTATAAAGGCTATTTTTAATTAATATATTGATAATACACTATTTTGAGTTTAATAAGAATCGGTTGTATAATTTAATATACATAAAATATAAAAAATATATGCGACAATACGCAAAAAATTAAAATGATGATTAAATAAACATAAGTGCCTTTGTGTAATATTAAAATAAAAAAATATTGACTAGAGGCAATATTACCATAATTATTTGTTATGATTTTTTCTAATGCTTATTTTATGTTTTTTATTTATCGTTTACGTTTTTAAATCACTTCACTATATTACCTGCTTATAGGCTTCAGAGGCTTCTATATACTCCTGCATTTTTGTTACTTTTTATCTATTTGATTATATTTTATAATGAAGTTCTTTTAAAATAAATTTATGGTTACTCCTGCATATTAAGATTTAATTTAATTGCTTTATCATAGGAGTCAATTGCTTCTCTGAATTATTTAAAATTATATAAGGAATTATCTATCTTAATAAATTATTTATAAACTTTTGTTCTTCCAGGCGTTTGGATCGTTTGGATCCAGTGAAATTGCTTTATCAAAGTTTTCAATTGCTTCTTTGTATTATTTCAGATTAAATATTGATAATAAATTATTATTTTATAATGAATTACCTATCACAATCAACTTAAAAATAACCTTTATTCCTCTAGATTCCTGTATCATTGCTTGAAATCTGGGATGATAATGAGAAATGCTTTGGAGAATTTAAAACAAGAACCAAGAACTTATCCAATTACCTCACTTGTTTTATATATAAATATTGGAGGAATGTAAAGATATAATAAAACTTTTGAAATTCCAATTCTTTAAACACTTTATAACCAAGGAACCTACTTGTTAATAGCCATTCTTCTCAAACAAATTAAATAATTTTACAGTTACTAAGTCTGGATATGGATATTTATCTATAAAGTATTTTAAGTATTTTAGGATGTATCCTCTTCAAATATACTAAGGTTATAATTAAATCTCAAAATCTACTATCTTAGTAGTTTTCAGAATATTTTGTGATTTGGTGGACTAGATAGATGATGGAAATTATGTAAAAATAAAATTATTAAGATATTTTTAACTAAAATTAAAATTCTACAAAAAGAAATGATTATTAGTTCTTTAAATTTAGAATGCTATTGGAAATGACAATTTGGAAGAATTAATATATGGTCTATTCTACTTTACACTTAATTATTTAGTTAATATTTTTAAAAAATTATTTTTTAAATAACAATAATTACGAAAAAAAACATAACATTTTATTAAAGCAAATCGTTGCTTATCAGAGTATTACTCTGAATGAAGTATCTTTTTTTCCTTAATATTAATTATTCTTTTTGAGCAGAAAAAATCAGAAAAATTAGCAATTTTTTTAAAAAACATGTCTAAATTTTCCAATTTTTATCCAGTCTTAACATTCCATAAACAAATAGATTTATCAATACTTCCAGATGCTAAAGAAGTTCCATCTGGTGAGAAGCATACTGAGTATATATAACTAGTATGACCATCTAATTAAGTTTATTATTATCCAGTCTTAGCATTCCATAAACGAATTGACTTATCTTAACTCCCAGATGCTAAATTAAATCCATCTGGTGAAAAACATACTGAGTAGACAGAATTACTATGACCATCTAATTAAGCTTTTTATCATCTAGTCTTAACATCCCATAAACGAATAGACTTATCTTAACTACCAGATGCTATAGTAGTTCCATCTGGTGAGAAACATACTGATGAGACAGGCTAACTATGACCATCCAATTTGGCTTTTTATTATCCACTCTTAATATCCCATATACGAATAGAATTATCTTCACTACCTGAAGCTAAAATTGTTCGATCTGGTGAGAAGCATACTGATAAGACATCATCACTATGACCATTCATCAAAAATTATTCATTTATTCTTAAATTTTTCCATTTACAATTAAACAATAAAGCACCATTAAAATTAATTCCATTAATATTTACACTATCAAATTAGGATCCACTTAAATTGCATTTTGCAAAATTAGCCCCAAATAATGATGTATCTTTAATTTTAATTTTTTCAAAGTTTTGCATAGTGAGATCAACTTTCATTTCAACTAATAAATTTAGTGAATTACTACCACTTTAAATGAATTTTTGATCTATCTTTGTAAGAAGAACTAAGAATTTTAAAAATTCAATAATCTAAATTTCTGAAGATATTTTTTATATTAGATATTTTCTTGTTTTTGTATACATTTCAGCAGAATAATTTATTAAATTAAAGGCATGTCGTTATATTTTTTTGATAAGATTCATAATTTACTTAATGTTATCATTACATTATTATTATCTTACAAATAAGGATTAATAGTTCGACTCCTTATTCAATAACTTTTTGATCATTTCTAAACAATCTTAATCTTCATTTTATTCTCTTAAAAACTCATCCATCATAGAGCTAAATACTTTTCCATTAAGATCTTTAGCTAAGATTAACACTTCATATAAATCAGCTGCAATTAAGAACTCTTGTATAGACTTATGAACAAAAGAAAAGTTTGGACCTTTTTTTTAAACCAATGAGCAACTTCTTATGTCTTTCTTATAAGATCCATATTGGCCATCATCAATAAAAAATTCGTCTAACCATTTTTCCTCTTCTCCTCCTTCATTATATAATAAACCTAATTATTTATATTAAATTTAAGTCAATTATTTATTACTCATTGTGTTTGCAAGTTTAATTGAATATTTTTATATATCATGTAAAAAGCGATCCATATTTATAGATTTTCCTAAGTTTTTCTATTTTCCTATTTATTTCAAATAGTAATAATTAATAAATTCATTATAAAAGTCAAAGCTTGTAAGGTTGTATTCTTTTAATACATCACAAACTAAAGAAATTATATTGTCATTTTAAATTTCCACTTTGTTAAATGTATTATCTTTTAATAGATGATTAGGATCTAATATCCTTAAAAGTATTTTATCTAATCCGCTCAATTACTAAGAGATTTAAAGTTGAAAAGGGATTGAATTCTCTTCCATTTTATTCCAAAATTTGAGAGTAATCTATTGATAATCAATTTTTTCTAAGTTTTCCAGATCATTTTGAGTAACTTGCAATTTTTCTCCCTAATTACCAATACAATCTTGTTAAAATTCTTTTTCAATTTCATTAGTTAATTTTATTTGATGTAATTTTTATTAGCATTTATAGAGTGAAATCAGATATTTGCTTTTCAAAAAATTGTGAAGCATTTTCGTGAAATTATTAATGAAGTTTTCTTTCATTTTTGTTATCTCAGTCGCTTTAACCATCATTTAAGGCAAAACTTAAACTATGATTTCCACCATATAAGGAGTTTCCACCAATCTATTTAAATTTATCTAATTCATCATATTTTCATACTTTTCAATGCTCCATAATTTTTATAAATTAATACTAAGACTTTTTAGAGCTTCATTTTTTAATACAAAAAATTCACTGTCTTTAAGAAATACTAGAATTCTTTCTATTTATTTTTAATTCAAAAGAGCTCAAGATTTAGTTTTGAAGCATCAAATTTCAAAAATGATGACTATAATTATCCCCAGTACAGTTCGAAGTTATTAATATCCATACTTCCTTTTTTTATTTATATTTACCATTCGTATATTTCATATATCAACATTTTAACACTTAACATTGCAAATTTTGTCAGATATTCCTTAGTTTATTCCTTATCAAATCTTAGAAGCTAGATTTCTTTAAATTTGTTTTCTTCTTCAGGTGCAAACCAATCCATATAATTAATACTTGTAAAAATTTCACTTCTTGTGGTAAAAATAACAAGCGGGTCGGACCAATTTTATTTAACTTTATTATTAATGTATCAATTTTTCTAAATATTCTCTAGTTTCATCTCATCGTAACTGTCCATAATTAATAATAATCTAAATTCTTCCTCTCCAATTTTTCTTTACATTCTTTCAATTATTGATCATCAAAACCATAATCATCTTCTTAACGAAGTGTCTCCTCGACAGCTTAAAAAACTGGATTTTTTAAAGAAGGCAATGAAATATAAATAGGTATGAGTACTTGATTGGCGATTTTTTTATTAGCTTCATGTAATTTCCAAATATATTCTTCTATTTTATTAGCTGCTGTACTTTTACCTGATCCAGCTATTCCATGTATTAGCATTACTTTTTTTTCTTATTATAAAAATTCATTTACTTCTCCTCCTTCCTCATCAAATTAGTCTAAATTCATCAAATTACTTTATTCATTTTTCCCTTTTTCTAAAGTTTATAATGGCACATAGATGGATTTAACATTTTTATATGCTGCTTCTTTCAATACTATCCATTTTCTAATTTCAAGTAGTTATTCAACAGATTTTCCTCTCAAAAATATTAATGTCATTACCTATGCTATTGAGTTATTCTTTCGTTTCTTTTATTTTTCCTTCAACTCTTAATAACCCTTTTCTGATATGATTAACAAAGTCAGTTATCAATCTTAGTTATTAACCCATTTCACTAATATTTCCTATGTATTCATCTAATTACTAAGTTGTTTCATCCAATTCTTTTAGCTATAGATCACGTTTGTTCAGATTAGCTTCATGAGAAATTTCTTCTTGCAATTAATCGGTTTTTTTTAACATTTATTGCATTTCTCCTGCAATCTTATCATGTTAACTCTACCAATCTTTCTTCAAAATCTACATTTACAAATTAATTAAATTTTCGTTTTTTAATAAATTTCTTACTCTTTAATCTTTTTCAGAAACCCAAAATTAGATTAAAGTTTTCTAGCAAAACGAAATAATTGCATCTGTAAAGCAATTTGATGAAATCTAAATGATAGTAAACGCTAGACCCTATCTAATTTTCCATTCCTCATTATTGTTAAAATCTTTAAACTTTAAATTCAAAGTATCAAATACACCTAAATGTTGATTAGATTTTTCATCATTTTCTTCTAGTTAATTATCTTATAAGTAAAGTTTTCTAATTTATTAAAGCATAAATTCTTATTCAATTATGGTGTTTGAAATATATTTTTGTTCTGATAATTTTGCTTAACAATACGACTTTAAAGAATTGAGAAAATCAGAAATATTCATTTTTAAATTAGCCATGTCTGTATCTGTTGTTTCTTTAGATAAATTAGACGAGATTCTTTCAAAGTACAGCTTAAAATTTTCATCTTCCTTTTATTATAAATCTAGTTTTGTAGTTGTTGATTACTAATAATTCTTAGTAAGTTCTTAAAATCGATCTTAAAACTTTTATTAGAATTTAATTTAAACTTCTTTCTGATATCTTTGAATTTGATTTAGTTTATCAGAGAAAATAATAAAGTCTTCAAGTAATTTGCATAAAATCTCCTTCTCTTGTTTAATTTTTTATAATTATAATTTTGCCACTTTAATGATAAATAATAAGTATGTACTGCCATTCTCTTTGATACAAAACTTAAATTTCTGATTACCTTTCTCAACAACAGCATGATCATCTTCTTAAATTTAGTTATTTTCTTTTTGTTTTTCTACTTTTGAAATCAATTAAATGTCTTCATTTTAATTCATTTTGTTATTGAAAAATTGTTCATCTTTCTCCTTAATTTCTTATCTATATTAAAGTATAGCTCTTTAATAATTCTCAGATTATAGTTTATATTAGCATAATAAGCTTTATAAAATTGTTAACTCTTCACTCATCAACATTAAAAAAAATTCCTTATCTAAAATTTCAAAGTTTTACAGTGTTTCAATCACCATATTTGTTTGGATGGCTAATTAATTCAAATGCCCAATTTCAATCTAATCTAAATTAGAATATTTGCTTGAATCTTTTATTTTTCCCAATTCAATCAAGAATTTTTCAAATTTTTCTTACTGTAATCTCGATTCTTATAAATTAAATTTTTCCTCATTCACATTTTATTATAATTTATCAATAGACAGGCCTTCCATGATTGTTACCATAAATATATATGAAGGAGATTCTTCAGTGAATAATTCTCCCAATTCCTTGTAAATTAATTCTAAATCTAATTCTTCCTAAAAAATCTTTTATTCTTGTATTGATAAAAGAAATTGTAGGCATTCTATCAATCCTTTCTACTTTGATAACTTATTTTAATAGTCTTATTCAGTGAATTATACGCTTTTCAATTCAGCAAGAATGAATTTTTCAATATCACTGTTACAACAAATTATTCTTTATGGGTAATCTTTAATTACCAAAACAAGGAACTGATCAAATTTTATAAATTATTATAGTTTTTTTAATTCTTCTGGGTTTGTTTATGTTAATGCTAATATGGCATAAAAATATTTTTTGATAGTGTCTAATTTCAAATAAAATTTTAGATTTTTGAACCTTAAGTCTTAAATATATTTTATTAAATTCACATCATCAAATAGTTCTTTAAAAATTTCTTACAGATTATCAGTATTTTAATGCGACTCAAAGTAATATTTGATTTGAAAGATTTTCTTAAGAAATTACATTGGCTCATTAGTATCCTTCAGTTCTTCATAGTCTATATAAAGATTATTCATTTATATCTCAAAAAATTAAATTATGTTATTATTCTTTTGAAGTGAAGAAATTTCTAGCTTTTCAAATAATTCTAATTGTTTCCAAGAATTTGAAATCAAAAGAATTAAATTTGAAGCTGAATTCAAAAAGTTATTTTAATTTAGAGTAGTTGTTAGTAAAGCCAAAAGTTTCTTTTTCAAATCATCAAGCTATGAATTTTTTAGTTGTAGTTTGGTTAATTCCTTTTAAATTTATGCCTTTTCATCCGTTTCAGCATTTTAAATTAATGATTTTTTATATTTATCAATATCTTTCCATTCTCAAATTTGTGATTATAGAATTTACTCTAATACTTTCATCAAATATTTGAGTTATAAAAAGTTATTTAATTCATGTTACTATTCAAGTTAATTGAATTGACAAATTTATTTCTTTGAGTTCAGGCTGATCATTTTTAAGATATTTTGAGTGTTTTGGATATAATCTTTGAAGTTTTAAATCATCTTAATTATCTCTTAATTATACATGGTTTATTTTATACTTTCATCAAACCACATTACATTTTTCATACAATTTCGATAACTTTTACTGATTGCTTCCAATTTTTCATTATTATTTTTATTTAAGTTATTAATTTGTTTGATATTATGAGATCAAAAAATTATTAGATTTGACTAACACCCAAAATATTTTCAATTTTTAAAGTTTCTTTGATTCCAACTTCTAATTTACATTTTAAATAAGAGGAAAATGTAAATTGGATATTTGGATTATGTTCATTCAATAAGAAGTCTTTAAGGTAAACGAAATTTTCCCATTCTCTGAAACAATCTTCAATTATTAGTCTATCAAGTTTTAACAATTCTTTATTTTTTAGTTTATTAATTATAATGATAGCCTAGTCACTGTTTTGATTCAGTTAGACTAATAATCCTTTGTTCTGATATTCCTTCCAAATTTACCTTGATTTTAATTCAAAATTGGATGAGCTAGTCAGCTGATTTAATTGATGTTTTGTTATTAGAGGAATATATATTAAGATCTGAGCAATCATTTAAATCCACAAAAAGTGATTTTTCCAATTACATGAATTTTTCACAAGATTATCATGTATTGACTGAATTTGTTTAATAATTACTTCTAGATTTTCTTCTTCATTTTAAAAATAACTTATTATCTCCCATTACAACAGATCTATTTAATAATAAACTTCATATTATTTTCTATTTTTCTCAACTGAATACATTTTGTAAAGTAGACAGGTACACTGAAACAATGATTTAAGCAATTCACCACTAGGTTTCATTTTTATTATTGATTCAATTACACCCCCTAAACATCCTTTGATAATATCTTACCTTTCGGTACTATTGTTTGGAGCAAACTCGAAAGAGGTTTTTGTTAAAAAAAGATAAAGTTCCATTTAAATTTGAATCAAGTCATTCTTTTCTATTTCCATTTATTATTTTAATTCATCAGAAATATCCAGAAATTCTTTTTATAAATCACATTTCATAAATCTCTTATCATTTATAATATGGAAGCTAAATATGATTTTTGATAGTGATGCTGTTGTCTTTAAGATATAAAAACATTTAAAGGGATCTGTTCGGACATAAATTAAACAGCTTTTCAATAATTTTCGGATTCCTTCGATCAAGTTATATGATTTTTTGACCTTTTCAGCATTTTTGTTGAGTTTGTAGATATTTTCCTCTTAAAAAATGAACCATTATATGGCTATCATTATTTCTTACGATTCTGATTAATTAGCAGCAACAGCGGCTTTTGCACAAATTTTTTCAACATAAAAATCGAATTTAGTGATGAAATTTTCAATATCTTAATCTTTGTCTTTTAGACTTGGATTTGTTGGCATTATTTAAGAAGATCCACAGCCCCCTCCACGCAATGTTAATATGTTTTTATTCATTAAGTCCGGCATTCTTTATAATAATTTTAATAAAAATTCACATAGAAATAAAGTTTGTCTCCTGATACATAATTTTAGGATTCAAGAAATTCTTAAAGATACACTTTATTGGAATTTTTCCAAAATCCATAGATGCTGCTTTGTCTTGAACCCATGTTATTATTAGCCTTAATACCTTCTTCTTCATAAGGGATGACGGTCTGAGTCTAATATTTTTAGACGACATTTCTATGAGCCTAACTTGAATTCTTTTATTTAATGTATTTATTTTCATTTATGCATCTAAATATATAATTTAATTATTCATCCAAGCAATTTATTAAATTTGTTGTTGAATATATTTTTACTAATCTGAATCCAAACTATTGTATTTTTTATAATTATTGGTTGTGAAATTTTATAGTACCTTTTTATTGCTTGCAACAGATTCTGGCTTTACATCTTCAAACATGAATATTTTAATTAATGAAATCAATATATAAACTTTAAACTTGGAAAAAAAATAGTTCATAATATAGCTTAAAATGACAATTGGAGCAGCCTTACAATAGGTATTATCATCTAAATTGATTAACAAAAAATAATAGCTATTCAAAAACTGGCAGAAAGAAATTTTTAAGAAAAATAAAAGAGCAAACTCTTAAAATATCGATGGCAAATATTTTCAATATAATATGATTTTTTAGAACAAAAAATTTATGAACTTTGAATAAGTTCTGATACTCATTACTTTTAATCAGATGACTCCGATTTAAATTTCAAAACACTCAAAACCTCTCTTTTAGATCATCAAGCTAGCAAATAAGATATAATTATTTTCTATAAATAGCTGTGACACTAAATATTTGTTGTGCTTAAACAAATCATTTTATCACTAAAGTTAAGATAAGATATTTTATATTTCTTTTTCTACATAGGTTTTTAAATATAGATATCCATGCCATCTCTATTACCAATTCTTTTTCTTTTATAATTTATAAAATAATACAAACATGAAATCAATTATCATTGATAATTATTAATAAATGGACATTATAAGGAATTGAAACAGAAATTAAAAAAAGTTTTTCGAATAAATCTAAAATTAAAGGAAGTATAATTTATAAACGTTACTAACTTTATCTATGAATAATTTTGTTTATATAATAATCAAAGTTGTAAATTTAAATGAATTTGTAATGCATTATCATGTTGAACTATCTAGAAAATTGGAAATGGACGATTTAATAAATATTAACTAATAATTTATTATTTAAAGTATATCAATATAAATTGTTAATAATAAGAGATTGATTTATTCAAGACTATATTAATTCAAGGGGAAAATGATTAGAATCGTATATGGTAAGAAAAGAAAATTAAATGAAAATTTAAAGAGATTAACCTTTAATTATTTGGTAAAGGTTATATTTTTAATTATTCTTGTACAGTTATAGAAACAAATGTTATACCCCACAATTTCTATATATGCGCTTCAAAATAGATTCCTAATGTACTAATGTATATGAAGAAGCTAAAAAATGAATGAAAATGAAGACGAATAAAAGCTATTTAGATTGCATTTATTATAGATGAAGCTTCTAATCTAATATTGTATTTATTGAATTTATACAATCAAAACTGATTTAAATTACTTAAAAATATAAAAAGAATTATAAATTAATTATATTATAATTATATTGTTATTATTCATTTATTTCATAATTCATATGTTGAATATCCTTTCCTTTATCATCACAATAGACCAAATATTGTCCATTATTTGTGACAGTTCCAAAAATACCAATTATATCACAATTCAATTTATCTACTATTTTGAATTTCCCATCATTCATTTCTTTAATCATATAAATATAAGTTTTATGTCTGACTAATATCAAATTTCTCTCCTTATTGTAAACTATTGGAAAACGATATTAATCATTTTATCTAATTATTTATAATTAATTATAATGTCTTCTCCTAATTTTCTTAAAAGACTCCTTCTTTTAACTCAAATATATACATTTTATATATTTCTTTTTTACGAGTTAACCAAATAAATTAATTCACTTTAATAAACTTAAAACTTAAATTGATTATTTATACATAAAGGGGTTGAAAGAATAATTTAATATCTTATTATTTAAAATCCCTTTTATGTTATAAATTTCATCCATTATAACAAAATATTTAAATTCAAACTTATCTTATTCTCTACTTTTCCAAATTATAATTTAACTCTTACCATCTGCACAAGATACTAATTTTGTTTCTGACAAATTTAAACTTAATGCCACAACTTCATTTTCATGTTTATCTAATGAATACATGTATATTAAAATATTTTTACTAAAATCAACTTTCCAGACTTTTATTGATTTATTACTACTTCCAGAGAATAGTAAATCCTCATTTTAATTCAATATTATACACAAAGCATAATCTTTATGTTATTCATAAGGTTATTAACTAATCCAATCAGATGAGTCCAATTATTTTCAGCATCTTATTGTCTTGTCCTATGCACCTGAAATAAAAGAGTTTTATTTTTTACTATAAACTAAACATTATATCCAATCAGTATGTCCTTTCAATATTTTTATTAATTCTAGTTTTCCATTTGCAAACCTCCATACTTTAATATCAATCTTTTCGGTTGATAATATAATTGACCCAGAAGAATCAAAACGATTGCATTACATGCTGCCTCACTTTATTTAACCGATTAATCAATTAATTTGAAATTTATTTCACCTTCTTATAAAATGATTGATTGATTTTGCTCTAAATAATTATTTATTTCACCGAATTGTGAGAAATTTGAACAACTAATTTTAATAAATTGTGACTTAATCTCCTTAAATCTAACTTTATCTTTGTTTTGAAGGTATTAATTTAAGTTATTAGATATTTTAGTCATTCAGGATCTATTAATATTATTAATAAGTGATAAATTAGAAACATAATTAGTATTCTTATTCTTAATAAAGCTATCTAATTCATCATAGAAGCTGTATTAGTTGTATTATTATATTTATTCCAATAAATTTACACTCCAATCTTCAGCTATTTTAATTAAAGTATCAAATAATTTAATGAATTATGTTTTTAATTCTTATAAACTTTTTATATAAGTTTATAGTTATTAAACTGTTTATTAGGAAATATTTTCAAAGCTTTTCATATTTTACTCAATAATATCCTCAATAATTTAATTTACTTTTTTAAATTCCATCGTCTAAGCATCTGATTTGAAATTTTCCATACATTCATTACATAAAAGTCTTTCTTTCTTATCTAAATTCTAATCAAGTACAACTAGATGAATTGATGAGTCATGTTTGTTCTAACAATGAAAATCTTATTGATTTTCTCTCATTTTTGGTTTAAACATTAATTTAATTATTAAAATTTATTGATATTGGATTGAGTTTAAGAATGAGAAGAAAGTTCAGTAGTTTAACTTAAAAGAAACTAAAGTGAAGTACAATTACAGAGAGAATTTATAGCTTAAACTTATTTTAGTCTCTAAAGATATATTTATTGACAGAATTGTATCAATTCTGGAGATATCCACATAATCCGAAAAAAAGATATCCCTTTCTTTAGGTTTATATTTTTTTGGAAACGATTTTCCAAGCAAATCGTGGAATCAAATGAATTATATAATATACTCGAAATACTTTAAATTTGAGTTTTGATTATTCAAAGCTTTGATATATATACATGTCTTAAGAATATTAAATATCAAAAAGCTTAGATGAATAAATTTGAGGATTACTTTGATTTATTATCACAACTAATGATATTGATATATAAAATACAATTAAACAAATACTGATATTTATTAATTAACTTTCATTTAAAATAGCTTTAAACTAAAATAGTATTTGGCTACCAATAGTTTTGCTTCAACCCACTAATTGAAATTGGTAATCATTATGAAACACCTAACCACAGAAATTATAAACATTAAAAAAAAAGAAATGACAAAGTATCTATTATTATTGATATCTTCTGAATTAAAACTAAAGTAGTTGATTCAAAATTATAAATAGACATTTAATAAATTTTAATCATTTATTTAATAAATAAATATATTTTTTGTTTTCTTGAGATGTTAAACAACCAAAATAATTAACGTTGTTTGAAACAGGAAATTATTAGTTAAGTGATCAAATTGAAAATCTTAATAATATTCTCAAAAAAGATTTTGCACCTTAAAATTTGAAAACATCCCTTGAAAATTTTTTATAATAATAAGAGAATGATATTAAGAACAAATTTCTTCTCAAAAGAAAAACAATATGCTTTAGAAATAACTCATACATATAAATCCTTTTATTATCTTGATTTTTATTCTTAGAACGGTAATCGTCAACTAGGTCCAGTTATTTAAGATAATAAAAATGCTTCAATAAAATTATAATAGAAGTTTATATGAAAGCTGAATAAATATTAGTTTATTATTTATATAAGGTTATAAGTCAATTAATAAAAAATATCTTTCATTTTCATCAACTTCTGCTCGGATATTACAAAATTTTTTACTAATTGTCTCTTAAATTATTTTATTTCAATAATAATTGTGTCTACCACCAAAATTCTACGTTGCCTCATGATTTCCTTGGATTTGTGTAACAACATTTCTTACTGGAGATATACTTTCTTTATTGTTGTTTCTTCTTTAATATTACTTTTCCTATATTCCTTCCCTAGATCCTCCTGTTAAACCTTTATAAATTGATCTAATTTTGGTTTAATTATTTTATTTCTATCTCTTGTATGTTATTCTTTTTTTAAGTCTATTTATTTAGATTGTTTCTCTTATTAATCTTCTCCAGCTCTTTATTTTATAGTAGTATCCAAGCATTCGGTGCATTTCTTTTTTAATGAAATTTTACACTTTATGGTTTAAAATCCCAATCCATATATTGAACAATGATGTGATCTTTATATCCTTCTTCATCGATAAAATATGGTTTTTTATGCTGGTAATCCCATGATTCATTAGCTTGTTTAACTATCCTTTCTTTATCAAATTACTATTCATTATGTTATTTATGAAAAGTTTATAATTTTAATTATTAAAGTTCATCTGATAAATTTTGATTAGGGAGTTCTTCTACATCTTTATAAAACATCTTACCCGCCATCCTAATTCCTTGTAATTTTATTTTGATGTCTATAACCTCAAATTTTATTTATTTTTTTTTGACTATTATGCAGTCTATCTTTCAGATAATAAAACTAAATATTTTTTCCTTTGCCAAACCTGCTGTGACTCTCAACCTATTACGATTGTAAAATAGATACAAAGGATCTAATGCTTAATTGGAAAAGGGATCTTTTCCATTTTGGTTTAGCCCTTCCTTGAGCTTGTCTTCTTTTTGACCTATGATTAAAAATTTTTTTATTTTAAAAATACTTATCGTATTTAGATCTGGTTTTTTAAATGTCAGACAATTTAGGCTTGTGATAAGTATGGAGAATGAATTTTTCTATTATAACTGCATCTAATTCATTAATTGTAATATTTTGTATTGACTAAAAATTGAAGTACATTTTCTTTGAAATTGAATTGGAATTTGTATAAAATTCTGCCTATCTCCTTAAAAATTAGGGCTATATTCTAATGATATAAAAAATATCGATCAGACAGCTATTCCTCCAAAATTGATTGTCTGATCTTAATTCTTAATTTGAGTTGTTTTTCATGAAAATTTTTTAAAGATTTCATGCTTTTGTTAAATACAAAATAGATAACACTATATGGAATTCAAATATTAAGTTTGAAATTCGTATTTGAAAATAAAAATTTATTTTTTAATTATATGTGAACACGTAAACTAAAGTGAACTCATTTTAT